CACAGACTCACATACACAGACACACTCACACACACACACAATCACCCACACATACACTCACACACAGGGACACTCACCCAACATACACTCATATACAGACACACTCACACACACAGACACTCACATACACAGACACACTCACACAGAGACACTCACCCACACATACATTCATACACACAAACACCCTCACACACAGAGACACTCACATACACAGGCACACTCACACACATACATTCACACTCACACACAAAGACACACTCACACACAGAGACACACTCACTACACACACTCACATACACACAGAAAGACACTCACACATATATACTCACACACACAGAGACACACATACATACATACACTCACATACACATACTCATACACATATACTCACATACACACAGAAAGACACATGTGCATACTCACATATGCTCACTCACACATACATACACATAGACACACATATCTACACTCACACATACACACACTTACACACAAGAAAGGGGGATTGCCCTCCTGCAATGTCTCTAACAAGTGAGTGTTTTGGTAGTCACAGCACGAGATAACTCGGTCCTCTAGAGGTGCTTGCCCATACTTGTGTGGCATGCACTCCCTAGGGCAGGCAGGACTGCCCCATGCCTGGCTGCCTAAAGGAAAGCTGGCTGCACAAACCATGGTCTTGAGCAATTTTACCAGGTATTACAATTCCACAGTTGTCTGTTGTATTGTTTCCCTGGGAAGACACGAGTAATGAACAGGAAACCATTATGTAAGGATATCAAATATAATTAAATAAATACTACAAGGGCTATAGTAACCTTGGTGGCAACTGACCTTGAAGATTAATTCAGGCAGTCTTCTGCATAGGGTGTGTCCTGTATAAAATGTGTCAGGAGCATGGATGAACACATTGTGCCTTTCCACAATGTCAGAATGTACCGAATAACAAATTCACAAGCTGTAACAGTTTCATTGCCAGCAATTTGCAAAGTAATACCAGTCTTCCTTGAGAGCTGGCGGTAGGGACAAGTTCTTTTTTTTTTTTTTTTTTAAGTATAACAAAATAAAATACGAGAAGACAAAAACTACCACATCAAGCTAGGATAAGACAAAAAAAAAAAAAAAAACAAGAGGAAAAGCCAAAGAAAGGGCCCAAGATCCAGAGGTCCACTAGCTGACACACCCGGGATCCCCCTAAAAACACCAAACTGGAAGTCAGAATATAAACGCAGAGGACTGGTGCAAACCTGTGCAAGTCCTGAAACACAGATTTTTTTATTTTTTAGTCTTAATAACTGATATTGTCTCAGGTTACACATAAAGTCTCAGGGACTCGTGTGTGTGTGTGATGTGTGTGTATGTATGTATGTATGTACATACGTACATACATATGTATGTATGTATGTGTGCAGTGCAGAATATCTACAAAAGGGTTAAAGAGGCCACAAAAGAATTCAGGGAGGTCAAAGAAGTCTTACTCTAGACATAAGCAAGCAGTTGATAGAGAAGCCACGAGTCACCGCAGTGGAGAGTGGCTTGGAGGCCTGGCACCAAGCTGCAGAGCTGTCATGTTGAGATGAACTTCGGGGTTAAAGCAGTTGTTGTCATCAGTGTTAGATGGCATCCTCTTTATGAGATCAATGTGGGTATCCTGTACCCTTCTTTTTCCTATTACGGCCCATAAATTGTCAAGCCTGGTTTTTCCAGTATGGTTTTAATATGCCCATGCATTCATACAGTCCCAAGCTACTTAGATAACACCATGGGATAGTATCTTTACTAAAGGACTACGTTATCTTTTAGTCTGTGCATCATGGATAGCACTGGGCAGGTGGTAGTGTCTACTTGTGTAACAAGGTGCAAAGTCATTCTGCCTCTGCCTTTGCACTCGGAAAGGGAGCTAAATATTGCTTGTAAAATGGAAACAGCATAGCCTGAGAGTCAATGTTTTACGCAACTCAGGTCAACTTAGATCAGGGCACAGCCTTATCTCAACAAGTGAGTCTTGAGAGACACTGTGCTAACTGAAAGTCAGAGAGGGGGTATATAGTGGTATATTATTTGTGCTTTAATAAATAAAGCTTGCCTGAAGATCAGAGTACAAAGCAGCCACACTAGTTAGCCATACAGGCCAGGCAGTGATGGCACACACCGTTAATCCCAGCAGCCACACTAGTTAGCCATAGAAGCTGGCAAGTGATGGTGCACACCTTTAATCCCAGCACTAGAGAGGAATATAAAACCAGAGAAGACAGGCCTCATTCTCAGTCTGTCTGAGAATTCATGGAGGCAGGACTGCCCATTTCAGTTTGAGATAGAGGTAAGTACTAGTAGCTGGCCGCTTTGCTTTTCTGATCTTCAACTTGAACCCTGACGTCTGTCTTTGGTTTTCATTATTCGTGCTACAAGGGTAGAGATGCTTAGAAGGCTTTGGCACCTTCTAAGTGCTCCTTGCCACCTCACTCTGTATCGCTTGTCTTTTAAACTTGTAACAGAAGCATTCACACTCTGTATTCCCCCACCCCTGTCCACTCCTCCTTTCATTTAACAGGTGGTTGTCCTGAGAGCACTCTGACACTTTGTCCAAGTCTAAACATGACAGAAATACACAACGTATTACAGTGCATGTATAGATGCTGTAGCTGGTCATGCAACTCTCCTTTACAAGTACATTTTTATCCTAAACAAGAAAGAGGAAAGCTACCTGTAGTTTTCAGTAATAAAAACAAAGTTCTCTGTGAGTATTTGCTTGAATGTAAGCATCTTGTGATTCTTATCAAAAACTGCACATGCTCCGGTGCCTTCAACAATGCAGATACTTTCTAGGTGAGGGGCCTGGGACTTTATCTTAAACTAGTGTCTACCATGATTTTTATGATCAACAAATGTTGGGGAAGCTACAGTTAGATTCTTGTCACCAACAACCTTAGAAACTTGGAACAGTAACTGGGGAAAAATATAAAGATAAAAGTGTTCTAGGCAGGGGAAAAAAGCTAAATGGGGCATTAATATTGTCCCAATAACTCAGTGTAAAGTCAAAGATTAAATATGCAGGGAGAATCACCGATACAGGCTGGAGAAATGGACCAACAGTTGAAAACATTGGCTACTCTTCTAGAAGACCACATGGCAGAAAAAGCCTTCAACTCCTAATCTAGGAGATCCAATGGCTTCTTCTAGCTTCTCCAAGAACCAGGCGCATGATGAACAGACATACATGTAGGCAAATCACATGTATACATAAAAAATATTTTTTAAAAAATTAAAAGTTCACAATAGTTATTAACTAATAATAGGATTCCCTCCTTGTGTCTGTCCAAAGAAACAAGCTGCCTTGCATAATAAATAGGTAAAATAATGTCAATCTGGGGGGAAATTAAGACACTTCAAGGCATTTACAGAGCATAGTGTAGCAAAACTATGGGTGTTCTCAAGGAGGCAGAGACACAGAGCCTCTCAAGGAGCTGTAATTTTTACAAACAAAATCAAAGAGGACAGCTGACAGGGAGTTAGCTCCGTGGTAGAACACTGGTGTTACCAGAAATTTGGGGGTGCTACGCAGCGAGTACCATAAGTTACAGGGGAAATTGATGTATCCTTTCAGAGTTCTTAGTTTCTATTTAAAAAAAAGAATTTAATAACAACTTAAACAAAAATGATGCATGATTAATAAAAACTCAAAGAAATTGGGGTTCAATCTGAAGAAAAGCAAAACAGCCAGTCACTGGCTCTTACCTCTACCTCAGTCTGATAATGACAATCCTGCCTCCAAGAATCTCAGAATGAGACTGACTCCTCCCCGTTTTATAATCCTCTCTAGTTCTGAGAGTAAGGGTGTGCACCACTACTGCCTGGTTTCTATGGCAAACTAGTGTGGCTACTGGGATTAAAGGTGTGTGTCATTGTGGTTACTGGGATTAAAGGTCTGTGTCATTGCTGCCTGGTCTGTAAGACTGGCCACTATGGCTGTTTTACTTTTCTGATCCTCAGGCAAGCTTTATTTATTAAAATACAAATGAAATGCCAATACTTTCCCCCTTTTTGCCTAAAATAAAAAGAGCTATAACTAATATAAAAATATATACAATAAGTACAATAACTATATACAATATATACAGGCAATAAATACATCAACAATATCTAGTCGATATGCATTTGACAAATTCAGAGAAAAAAACTCCATATCTATCCTAACTTAGTGAGTCCAAAGTCTTGTACCTAATTCCTTCCTAAATACATAGTTTTATGTTTATAAGCGTTGACAAAGCCATTCCATTTTGATTATGACGACATCCATGTTTCTTTCACAGGACTAAAAGACGGCTGCTTTGTTTTGTTTAAAGCAAAAAAACAAGATCATACAGAAGTTGGGTACGCGGTGGGTGGTTTGGAATGGGAATTATGACATCGTGGGAAAGATAGGAGGAGGCGAAAGAAATACGTACCCTGCTGGATCAAGAACCTACACAGAAAGGTGGACTACGTTAGACTTCCATGCTAAGACTAAAGCCTCTTCAGGGCTTGGAGGAGGCATCAGCATTTAACAACCACGCCTTCGGTCTTTCTCTATTGTTTCCTGTGCATTACTCAAAGCTTCCAAGAGAAACAATACAATTAACAACCAGGGAACAGAAGTTATTAGACCAAGTTGCCCCAGGCCAAGGCTCTGACTCAAGCCTCCATAGCACTCAGATCTCTGTTCCTCTGCGCAGGCCCAACCCTGGCTAGCTGCCTGGAGCACTGGGCTTTATCCGCTGCCCAAAGTGTGGGCGAGCAATTTCGATAATTTCAACATTTGTCTCATCAAATCCCAGCCCGTTCTTTGCAGCCTGGGCAGCAGGAAGCTGTTAGAGATCTTCTTGTCCACCAGGGGGCGGCCTCTGTCCGCTTTGCCTGCTGGGAAAAGCCCCAACATCCGGGACTGCGCCGCGAGAAGTGGAGCACGCCGGCGCGGTTGGACCCTCCGCGGCCGCCGTAGCGGCTCGAGCACAGTAAATAGGAAGTGGATTTTTTTTTTTTTTTTATAGCGTTGAGTTGAAGGCGGGGTATTCCTGAGGGACGCTCTCATCTCCCATCGTTTACTGCGGTTCTCCGTCCTTCTCCACTTCCTCCTCCCGGCCTAGAGGAACTCTGCCGGGGGCTGCCGGCTCTGCGCGCCGAACCATGGCCGAATACTCGTATGTGAAGTCCACCAAACTCGTGCTCAAGGGAACCAAGGCCAAGAGGTGAGGCTGAGCTCGGGCGGCAGTCTCGGCTCCCAGCGCATCCCCTCCCGGGGTGACCACTCCGGTCATGGCATTTAGAGGCAGAGCTGCGTGGACAGCCTCCCCGACGCCCCCGAGATGAGGGTGCGTGACAGGGGAGCCCCCGAAACGGGGAGACCTGTGGCCCGTGAGCTCCATGCTTGGGATCCCCAAGGCTTGATTAGGACTTGGATGGGGGTGTGGGCTCGGATGCGGACCGCACCAGTGGCGAAGACTGATGGTTCGTTTGCTCCTTTATTGAAAACTCAGATATTTGTATGTTTCTTGTGTCTCGAGACGGTTAAAGAACTAGGAGAATTGGAAGAGACAGCCAGCACAGACCCTAACAGCCAAGTGAGGGCGTGCTAGTGGTGTTTTATAATTCGCTCTTTGGGGAAAGACACCTGCCCATTCGTATCTCCGTCTTCTTTTGGAAGATTTGGCCAAGTCGAGCGCTTCTTTGTGGGATCCCAGATGAAGCAGTTTCGGTGGCAGCAGTTGTTAGGGAGCGTCGTGCCTTCGAGAACTGCCTGAGTGTGGCATGTGACGAATTTATCCTGGCTGAACCTGCAGCTGCTTAAGTAGCTACAGGGAGAACAGAACCAGCTTCTGAAAGCTTTGTAGTTAACATGCAAAGAAGTTAAGGTAAACATTATTAAAAAACCAGTATAGCATTTCCATGTTCCAGAACTCGTTCTGTTTTTGAGACAGGGCTTCTCTGTGTTGCCCTGACTGCCCTGGAACTATCTGTAGAGCTGGCTGGCCTCGAACTCAGAGCTCTGCCTGCCTCCGCCTCCAGGGTGCTGGGATTAAAGGTGTGTGCCACCACCGTCTGGCTCAAATTTTGTTCTAAGTACTTTGGATAATCTGTTTCCCTAAGATCTCCCTTTGTGTTTTTCATTTATGGAGCTGAAATTAATATACCATAAACTTTTTAAAAAGTATTCAGCTAGTGGATTTTAGTATATTTAAAAGATCACCACTATCTAGTTGACGAGTATTTTTACCCCTCCAAAGTAAACCCCTTAGCCATTAAATAATCATACCCGCTGCTCCCACCCCCCGCCCCCGCCAGTTTCTGTCAACTGCTTTCAGTCTATGAGAATTTGCTTACTATGAATATTTATGTCAATGGATTATACAATATATAACTTTTTGTGTTTGTCTTTTTTTCACTTAGGTTGTTGTTGAGACAGGGTCTCGCTGTATAGCCCTGACTAGCCTGAAACTCACAGCAATCCACTGCCTCAGCTTCCCACATGCTGGGGTTGCAGGCATATGTCACTATACCTGGCTTATTTCCCTTAGTTCTGGGGAGCATCCATATTGTAGTGCCGTGTATTTCTTCTGTTTGGGGGCCGAATGATTTTTTTGTATGGTGTGAGCACATTTCGTTCTTTCTTCATTGATGAACATTTTACACTAGTGATAATGTTATTAATGTTCCTTTTTTTTTTTTCCTGGGCATAGTTGTTTTGTTTTTCTTGGAAATATATGAGAGTAGAGTTACCTATGTATTATTTATGGTAACTCAGTATTTAGCTTTTTGAGAAATATTTTTCAAAGAGGTTGTCTTAGTTGGGGGTGACAGAACATCCTGACCAAAGGCATGGTGGTGCAGAGGGTTCTTATCAGCTTCTGTCTTGTGATCCATCATCCAGGAAAGAGAGGGCAGGAACTCAGGGCAGGAATCTGGAGGCAGGAACCATTGTAGAGGCCGTGGAGAAATGCTTCTTACTCAGCCTGCTTTCTTACACATCTCTGGACCACCTGCCCACAATGCGTTAGGCCCACCTATGTCAATCATTAATCAAGGAAATGTCCCTACACCTGTGCCCACAGGCCAAATCTGGTGGGGGCGTTTGTTCAGTTGAGGTTCCCTCTGCCCAGATGACTCTAGCTTGTGGTAAGGTGACCAGTACACTAGCCAGCACAGAGACAGCACCATCTTTTCGTTCTTCAGCAATAGAAGAAGGGTAATAGTCACTCATAGTCCATGATGGTAACTCTAGGGACTGGGCTTCAGTATTATCTTCCTAAGTGGGGAAATTGATTGACAGATTAGGGGTTTTTGTTTATTAGTTGGTTGGTTGGTTGGTTTTTTTTTTTTTTTCCGCAGAGTAAAAGTGGCTGTATATTATTGTTTAAATGTAGCAACATGAACACAGGGCAAATCAACTTCTCAGTGTTTTAAATATCACATATATGTAAATTTTTTTAAAAAATCATTTTTCTATAAATCAGTATATAACTTGAATGGCTCTTCTGAGTGTTCATCTTGTAATTTTTAACACATATATCAGTATGCCCAAACTCATATATATATCCTTTCTTTCTCATAGTAAAAAGAAGAAGAGCAAAGATAAGAAGAGAAAACGAGAAGAAGATGAGGAGACCCAACTTGATATTGTGGGTGAGCCACTTCAGTTATTTACTGTGTGAAAAGTTGGCATCTGTTGTGGTTCAAGTCCCATTTGAAGTGTTGTCCTCATTAGCACTGATGGTGCTTGTCAGAGCCTTCACTTAGAAAGTTCACTAGATGTCACTGTTGTTCCTTTTTTTTAATTATTTTATTTAAAAGGTTTTTTTTTTTTTTTCCATTTTACATACCAACCACAATTTCGCCTCCTCCCGCTCTCCCAACACTTTCCCACAACACAATGCCCCATCCACTCCTGAAAGGGTAAAACCTCCCATGGGATTCATCAAAGACTGGCATATCAAATTGAGGCAGGACCAAGTCACTCCCTGCTGCATCAAGGCTAAGCAAGTTATCCCTCCTATCCCTCCATAAGGAATGGACTCCAAAAAAACCAGTTCATGCCCTAGGGATAAATCCTGGTCCCACTGCCAGTGGGCCCACAGAACTGTCACCCACATAAAGAGGACCTAATTCGGTCCAATGCAGGTTCCCCAGCTATCAGTCCAGAGTTCATGAGCTCCCACTAGCTCAGATCGGGTGTCTCTGGGTTTTCCATCATGAACCTGACCCCTTTGCTCATATGATCTCTTCTCCTGCTCTTCAACTGGACTCCAGGAGCTCAACTCAGTGCTTAGCTGTGGATCTCTGCATCTGCTTCCATCAGTTCCTGTATGAAGGTTCTCTGGTGACAATTGGAGTGGTCATCAATCTTTTTACAGGGGAGGCCAGTTCAGGCACCCTCTCCATTATTGCTAGGAGTCTTAGCTGGGGTCGTCCTTGTGGATTCCTGGAAATTTCCCTAGCACTAGGTTTCACCCTAACTCCATAACTGCCCCCTCTATCAAGAGTCTCTCTCAGTGTCTACAGCACTAGACAGCGTTAAGCTATAAGTGGTGAGTTGGGTCTCCACCACCACCAAAAAAAAAAAAAAAAAAACAAAACTGTGATTGACTTAGTGATGGGTGGCATTAGTGAGCCATGTTTATAGCACCTGTTGCTTTTTGACAGCTTGGCGCTGGAGTGATCCTGCAACCATAAAACATGTAAATATACCTCTGGCCTTTGAATGGAGGCAGCTTGAATTCCCAGGAAGAAAACACAAATATGCCATGGATAGCTTTTTAGGCAGTGGCAATCTCTAAACGTAGTGTATCATCTTCTCTACTTTGGCAGAGACTGAAAATTTTGAAGTCTGTTAAATTTATTATTTTTCTGAAATTCACTATTGAGATTCTGTGTTAAAATTATTTATTTACTATTAAGTGTAGGCTTGGGTGTGGCTCAGTGGTAAGATAGTTACCTAGCATGCCTGAAGGTTTACTATAGGTATTGGGAAGCATTCATGTGTGTAGCATTTGGTATTGGTCTCAGGCATCCTCTGAGGAAAAGGAGAGGCTGTTGGCTGAAAAGCGCCTCTCTCTGTGGGACTTATTTAAACATTGCCAATGGAAAGCATGTGGGATGGGGTGTGCAATCAGAGAAACTATTCTCTTAGTCTTTTAGTTTGATTTGATTTGGTTTTTGGTTTTCCATGTGGGTGTTTTTTTGTTTGTTTGTTTGTTTTGGTTTTCGAGACAGGGTTTCTCTGGTTTTGGAGCCTGTTCTGGAACTAGCTCTTGTAGACCAGGCCTCGAACTCACAGAGATCTGCCTGCCTCTGCCTCCCTAGTGCTGGGATTAAAGGTGTGTGCTACCACCAATCATATTCTTGTCTTTTTATGTCTCTGCAAATGTTAGAGACCTGGGCTGTGATGTTTGTCACAGGAGTCCACCCATACAAACAAACAACTTCAGGCAAAACTGGCAAAATATGAGTAAGGTTCAGGATTATGTCACTGTAAAGTGCTAAGGATTGAACAGGAGTTATGCATGGTGGTACAATTAGGAGTAGGTCAGTGAAGAATAAACCAGGTTTCTCTGTGATGATTCTTATGATCGTCAAATATGGGCTTTTATAGTATAAACAACAGAAAACCTTGAGCAACTCTAAAATAAAATGGTTAAACCTTGGTTTTTTTTTTTTTTTTATTTTGTAGGAATCTGGTGGACTGTATCCAACTTTGGGGAGATTTCAGGAACCATTGCCATTGAGATGGATAAAGGAGCCTATATCCATGCCCTGGACAATGGCCTTTTTACACTGGGAGCACCGCACAGAGAAGGTGTGTGATGGGGAGACCCTGCCAAGTAGACCCTTACAAAGTTTGTGCATAAGTCTGAGTCATGTTCCAAAGCAAGACTGCCGTCAACCTGAGCTCCTCCCATTCTCCCTTTCTCACTTCTGTTATTAAGAAACGTCTTTTTCCAGAATAAGTGTTGGAAACTTTCTGACTACTATCAGAAACCCTGTGGAAAAAAGAATAACATTAAAATCACACAAAACCCACAATTGTAAGTGGAAAGAAAAGAGAAAAAACTAATTGAATCAGAAGTGTGAAGTTTTTTTCTTCCTTCAGAACTGGTATGATTAACAGACATTTAGATGTTTTCTCCTTTTCCTTAGCCTACAAGGAAGCACCACAAGGAATGCAGTAATTGGAAAATAAAAGGGTGTCTGCCTTGGCCAGAATGGATGTTCCTTGAGTAAATAAAAGCAGTTAGAATTCACATACTGTTATTTATGTGTTGTGTTTTAAAACCTGAGAGTGTAGTGGAACTGGCTAAATAAGTCATGCCAAACTGTCCTTCAATTACATAAATTCTCTCTGTAACCATGCCTTGACAGTATAGATGGTGCATAATTACAGTATGTGCAGATATCATAATATCCTTACCTTTCATTTCAGGGGGGACTAGTTTTTAAAGCATAAAATATCTTTGTCTGTATTTATAGCAAAAGTTATATATTTACCATTTTTGTTTCCCTGTAGTTGATGAGGGCCCCAGTCCTCCAGAGCAGTTTACTGCTGTCAAACTGTCTGATTCCAGGTAAGCTTTAGTTGAATGTATTTAAAAGCCATAAAATTAAACTTCACTTAACCATGCATTGTGGTGCATGCCTTTCCTACCAGCACATAGAAGACAGAGTCGGGAGGACCAGGAGTTCAAGGCCATCTTGGCTGTATAATGTACACGGAACCCTTTTTCGGCCAGCCTGGTCTAGAAGAGCTAGTTCCAGGACAGGAACCAAAAAGCCACGTCGAAACCCTGTCTCAAAAATCAAAAAAAAAAAAAAAACCTACACTATTGGTGAATACAGTCAGCATAATTTTAATTGAAAGACAGTATTTTGAAAAGGAGATTATTTCCCTCTTTTTTTATTTTTTTTTTTTTTTAAAGACAGTGTCTCTCTATGGAGTCCTGGCTGTCCTGAAACTCACTCTGTAGACCTGGCTGGCCTCGAACTCAAAGAGATCCACCTGCTTCTGCCTCTCAAGTGCTGGGGTTAAAGATGTATACCACTACCACCTGGCTTGAAAAGGAGGTTTTTATGGTATTCAGAAAACATTCATAATCAGAATTGTTTTAGATTTCTGGTTTTGGGAATTTGGGGAATGTCTGCATGTATATTAAGAGCTTAAAAATGAAAATTAATAATGTCAAGTGACCAAGCTAAATAGATCAGAAAGAGCATGCTTCTCATGCTTTATTATTAACAATAAGCATGAAAGAAGACCTGCCAGTGATTCTGTGTTATATGGATTTGCAGTCAGAAGAGACATATTGGTCATGGTGGCAGACACCTGTCATCCCAACACTTGGGAGGCTCAGGATCAAGATTACAAGTTTAGGCCAGCTAGGGAATGTAGTCACACCCTATCTCAGAAAAAAGTCAAGAGATAGGAAGGCAAAAGCAAAGAATATTGCTGAAACTAAACAGTGTTCTATGATCACACAAAAAAATTGACCGTTTTTGTTCTTACAGTAAAAAAGTGCTAAGTGATGCTTTTGAGTAGCAGATAGAGAAATTGAGTATCAGTATTGGAGTAGTAATTACAGCAACTTAATAATATTTATTTATCATCAACCCCCAACTGATTATGAAGTCAATTCAGCATCCCCGGAAATTGATTGGCAAATAAAAATCAGAAACCAGAAAAAGTTTTCTAAAATCACATTTAAATAATGACTTTTATATTTCTTTGAAAGACTTAGGAGTAAAGCAAGGAACAAAATGTCAGTCAGTAAGTTTCCTTATGATTACAAACAAAAATCTTATGAGCAGTAGAGAGTGAGGAAGGTATTTGCAACAATCTCCACAGGCAGTGAGTGGTTAGCTGGTGGTATGTCTGCATAGCATTCACAGTGCTGACGGCATCAGTAGAAAGGGGTCACACACCAGCTAGTTTTAAAGTGGAAGAGGAAAATACAGCCATGCTGATGTCTTTCTTCCTAGTAACTATTGTGCAAATATTTTTTCCATATTGTGTATTTCAGCATTTTTAGTATATTGGTTATTTTTCTTACTTACTTACTGAGACCTGACAAGAAACAAGTTAAGGGAAAAATAGTCCGATTTTTAGTTTAAGAGGGTAAGGATGGTTTTGGCAGAGAATGTGTCACAGAGTCCAGGGAGGCAGGAGAGTGCGCATGTGTCCAGGACTCCATATTACCAGGTATCAGCACAGTGAGGGAGAGAGCCGGCCCGCTGCTGGCTTTCTTCTTTTCCTCACTTCATATATTCTAGAAACCCAGTTCATAAGATGGTACCACTCACATCAGGGTGTGTATTGCCTCCTCGGTTAAACCTCTCTGGTCCTACCCTCAAAGACACCCAGATCAATTTAACAATGAAAACATACTTCATTTTTCTTTTCTCCCTCTCTTCCTCCCTCCCTCTCTCTCTTTTTCTCTCTCTTTCATACAGGGTTTCACTATGTACTTCTGGCTGGCCTGGAACTTGTCATGTAGACCCAAGTGGCCTCTAACTCACAGATTCACCTGTCTTGCCTCCTGTGCACAAGGACTAAAAGCACATGCCACATACCGAGGATATACTTTTTCAAAAGTACATGATTAAAATAATTTTTTAGCTTGATGCATAGGTTAGAGCAGTGGTTCTCAACTTGGGGGTCGAACGACCCTTTCACAGACAGGGGTCACATCAGATATCCTGCATATCATATTATTTACATTACTATTCATAATAGTAGCTAAATTACAGTTATAAAGTAACAACGAAATAATCTCATGGTTGGGGTCACCACAACATGTGTTTAACTGTGTTAAAGGGTCACAGCATTAGGAACGTTAAGATCTGCTGGCTTAGAGCACAACCCGTCTCCTCAATAAAATCTCTCTTAAATTGAGGTGAGATTCGAAGTTGTAGCATTTTCGTGAAAGCAGGTTGACAAACTGTAAAGTTTTAACATCTGGTGGGAGTCAGCCTGGACTATTAAAAAAGACCCTATTTTACAATCATAAGTTGATAACCTTCAATCCAGGGCCTTCCTCTGTTGAAATAGGAGCGGCGGGGCTGCGTCCCCAGCACCCCAGCCACCTGCTAGCTCATGCCCGAAATAACAACACACAAATTGTATTCTTTTAAACACTGCTTGCCCATTATATCTAGCCTCTTCTCGGCTAACTCTCGCACCTGGACTAGCCCATTTCTAATAATGTGTGTAAGCACCCCAAGGTGCACTTACCAGGAAGATTCTAGCCTACGTCCATCCTGGGTCGGAGCTGCCTGGGAGAGCAGAGCCTGGCCTCTGCTCCAGAGAGCAGAGCTGTCGAGTCTACCCGGGAGAGCTGAGCATGGCGTCTCTGCTCCAGAGAGCAGAGCTATCTCGCGTCTGTCTGAGGAGTCTTACCTCACTTCCTCTTCCTCCTGTTTACTCCTCACACCTATGTTTTAACCTATCAGGGCAAGCAGTTTCTTTATTTAATTAACCAATGAAATCAACAGATTGATATATGACACTCCCACATCATTCCTCTTCTAAAGACAGATCAGCAGTTTTATATATGTAACAGAGAAATCAGTAAGACTGTAATAGCATAAAAGGTGCTTTTTATACATCTGTATAATGCATTTGGAAAACAATTGCTGTATAATAATTATATTAGAAAACAAAATATAAGAGTATAGATAGAGAATATAGTGTCCACTATAAAAGTGTCTGGATTTATTAATGTATATGCATATATATACACACAGATACATAATATACTCTTTATTTTATACTTACATTCTTACCCTCAGTTTTTAACTTTATCTTTTTTATTAAACCGAAGGATTGCACTGAAATCTGGCTATGGAAAATATCTTGGTATAAATTCAGATGGACTTGTTGTTGGGCGGTCGGATGCAATTGGGCCAAGAGAGCAATGGGAACCAGTATTTCAAGATGTAAGTACTATTACCTAGACGGACACCCTGCCAGTTTAAGAGAACATCATTATTAGGAAAAGCACACTCTTAAAATTAACAAAACAATCTACAAGGGTAGATTGTAATAGTATTATACATTAAATTGAAAAAAATTATAACCCTATAACGATATCAAAACAGTGCAACGAAAAGGAGTCCCTTCCCCATTCTGGTTTCCAGCCACCATTGAGGCCTTGTTGTCTTATTTCAGTGGTGGGGTTTTAGAAAAGAAGCAAATCCCAGGGTGTTCCGGGAACATCAGTTTCACATAATTTGGTTCAGAACCTTTAGAGACTGACAAGAGGCAATAGAGGAAGCTAATATATTGTGACTGTTTGTGTACGAAATAGTAAATCATGGCATGCTTCATTGAAATTAATACTCTTTGTAGAGCTCTAAGTTTCAGTTCATGAGAAAAAATCAGTATAAACAAGTTTGATTAAAGATACGTGAATTTTAGTAAATATCAGTTGTAATATATCAAAAACTATAAAGAAACCTAGAACAGGCCAGAAGAGAGAAGTTCAGTAGCTGCTCAGTTCAGCAACAGTGGTGTGTACATTCAGCACAGCGTGCAGCAGGGCCGGAGAGGTGGCTCCTTGGCAGGAGCGTGTGTGGCATCCTGAGGACCCGAGTTGAGATTGCAGCAGCCTGGCCTGTCTACTCTCCTTGGCCACCCTAACAGCATTGGGTATAGTTGGTTACATCTCATGGCGTGGCCTGAAATCAAATCCGATACTGGTTGCTTACTGCTCCCACAAGCTTTGTGCCACTATTGCACCAGTGTATCCTGCAGGCAGATCACCATTGTAGATAAAAGGGTTTGTAGCTGGGTTGGCGTTTACCTTTCTCCTTTAATAGCTTCCAGACTACCTTCCAGTACCATGAACACTGATCCACAGGAGATAAGGCTCTTAAATAGGTACCAGCTCAACTCCCCCGTGTTCATTGAGTTATGTGGGTGTTGTCTTCAGTAATAAAGGTCTTGCTATTGTTTTTTCAAGAGCAATCAGTAACCGTGTTGCTAGCCTGAGTTGTCTTAAAGTTCCCATAGGACCCAGTGACCAACAACTTGATTAGATGTATGTTGCAAGGAGGGCCCTATTGTTCGTCCTGGCTACCCGGCTAGCTTAGCCCTGAAATAACCATACAAAAACTGTATTCATTAAATCACCACTTGGCCCATTAGCTCTAGCTTATTATTGGCTAACTCTTACATTTTAATTTAACCCATTTCTATTAATCTGTATATCGCCACATGGCAGTGGCATACTGGACAAAGATTTAGCATGTCTTACTCTGTTGGCTGCTCCAGGGCAGCTTCCTCTGACTCTGCCTTCCTTCTCCCAGAATTCAGTTCCTTCTTCGCTGCCTTCCTAAGTTCTTACCTATCACAGGTCCAAGGCAGTTTCTTTATTCATTAACCAAGAAAAGCAGCACACAAACAGAAGGACCTCTTATACCATTTTCCCTTTTTTGTTTAAACAAAAAGGAAGGCTGTAGCTTCAACATAGGAAAACTACATATTACAAAACAGGTGTCAAGCAAGAACTACAGTTACAATATTTATATGTACTTTATCTTTTATTATAATTAAGGAAAACCATAACTATAAATTCTTTAACTCCATCAAAGACTCCAGAAGGATATAATATTACCCAAGTAAACAGGAAGTGAATAGTAATCAACTTCCAAAACTCTGGAATTGACAGAGACATCTCGCTGGCTGGACAGTCACCTATAGTTCTTCTGTATCATTGGGGCATCTATTTTCAGTCTACAGGCCCATAGTATCCCGCAGACTTTTCCATGAAGCAGGAATTTCAAAGACAGTTTAGTCACTTTCTTCTGTATCCTGCAGAATGTCTCACAGATTCTTTCATGAAGCAGGAACCCTGAAGGATTATCTCACCTTTAGGCAAGTTCAACAGTCAATTTCTCTGTGGGTCCTGCATGTCTAGTTAAGCAGTCCAGGCAAAAACAGTTTCTTGCTCAAATGGCTAACCAGCTCCCTAAGGAGCCTCTTCGATGCCCACCTTCCTCTTAAAGTAACTGGTGCTGCCAGGGGCAGAAGTGTCTCACTGTCATGAAAAGTCTTAAGTTCTTAAACATTTTAAATGTAAGTAGTGTTTCTTTTGTGAACTTCGGTGTCTTCGTGTTTGGTGCATAGATATTTAAATTGCATTATCTTCTTGGTGGATTTTTCCTCTCATGCAGTATCCTTCCCTGTCTCTTCTGTTTAGTTTTGTTTTGAAGTCTGTTTTGTCCAATATTAAAATGACTAGACCCTTCTGGCTTTTAGAGACTCCATTGAAAACATGATGTTATTCTAATATGTCTGCTTATATGTTATTTGGTCTTTTCCCCTTGCAGTTTTTAATAGTCTTTCTTTGTTCTGTACATTTAGTGTTTTCATTATTATGTGACATGAGGAATTTATTTTCTGATCACTTCATTTGGTGTTTTGTATGCATTCTCTACCTCGATAGGCACTTGGGGAAATTTACTCGTATGATTTTATTGAAAATATTTTCTGTGCCTTTGACCTAGGTTTCTTTTCCTTCCTCTGTCCCTATTAGTTGTAGATTGGTCTGTTCATAGAGTCCCAGAGTACCTGAAGTTTTGTATGTGGATTTTTTTTCTTTTAGAGTTAACATTTTCTTTGACCAAGGTGTGCATTTCTTCTACCCTGTCTTCAGCGCCTGAGACCCACTCCTCCATCTCTTGTACTCTGTTGGGGAGGCTTGCCTCCGAGGATTCTGTTCGAGTTCCAGTTCTCTCTCAGTTTGGATTTTCTATATTCTGTTTCCACTTTCTTGTTTTTATTTCCTTCCACTACTTGATGTTTTCATGTATTTCTTTAGTGGATATATCCATTTCCTCTTTTAGGACCTCTAACATATTCATAAAGACTATTTTGAAGTCGCTGTCTTATCTTTCAGCGATACTGCATTTCTAGGGGCCCTTGGAGGTAAGGTTGCTGAGCTCTGCTGCAGACATTCTGTCCTGGCTGTTGGTGTGTGTTTACTTGGGTGTCTGGTCATCTCTTTGGGTTTGGGATGATTGTATTTCTAGATGTTAATATCTGGTCTTGTCTTTGTTGGGTGAGTGTTCAGTTAGTCCCTAGGTTTCTGTTGCCCTCTCTGGTTCTTAGCAGAGTATGGTGGCTGTGGGTTTCCTGGTAGGGAATGCTTCTCAGATCATGCCAAGTGTGGCCAATTGGAGCTCCAGGTGGACTGTATTTCTAGCTATTGGGAGCAATACTTGGAAGTGAGGATGGAAGTGAGGGGTTAAGGGCTCCCACAGGAGGAAGGAAAGCAATGTGCTGCCTGGATGTGCACCTATCCCCTGGGAATAGGACAGTGAGGAAGGAAAGGCCACAACAGTTGTTCTGCCCCAGAGCTGAGGATGAGACTGGGGGATTGGATTTGGAGGAGAAAAGAGAGAATAAAGTCTGAAGGTTACCTACTTGCTTCCTTGGTAGATGTGGGTTTCCGAGGGGATGGCTGTGGGAGTTGGAGCTGAGACAAAGAACAATAGTAATTATTTATCATGTATTTTGCACTCTGGCATTTTCTGCGCTATTCTCCTTCTGTCTAGTTTGGATGGTCTTTATCGCTTTTTTCCAGGACTGGTTAATAACAGTTCTACCAGGGCCTGTGAGGTTGCTCAGCACTGACAGCCTGATTATCAGAACCCACATGAAGGTGGAAGGAGAGCACTGACTCAACAAAGCTGTCCTCTGACCTCTGCGCACACACTATGACACATGTACACACATGCAAACATCGTACATGCACAATAACTAACTTAAAAATACAATAAAAATTATACTAATAGGAAGACCAGTATATCATAGGTCAAGATGACAGACTACAAGACCATTTATTTCACTTTACTCTTAGGAAGACACTTTCCATTCTTATAATTCAAACAAAAGACTTAAAAGCCCTGAGACAGCAGGTTAAACTGCAGAAGCAGTTACCCACAGCACAAGTGGATTCTGTAGAGGGTGTGGCTGCATACAGGGGAGTCCTGCCGCCTTGACTAAGACACCAAACAGAATCCATGGGATTCATGCTGTTTTAACTGGGTGTTTCAGGGTTATTCTGTAATTATTGTATTTGTGAATTGTTCTCCTGATATTCAAAGTTTTCTACAAGAATCGTCCAAATAAAAATTATAGTTAAAATTTACAATTATTAGGAGAACTTAACTATAATTCACATTCAGATCCACAAGAAAATTAGTTTTTGAGGTTTTATTTAATAGACATCAGTATAATCATAAACATTTGATCCCTAAAAGTATGTCATTCTACATAGAATTCCCTCTAAGCCAAAGGCTTTTAATTATGGAGAAAAAGAAATTGCACTTGGAATACCAGTATTTCAATAAATTCTTGTATATTATTCATAAGTTTTATTTTCCTTAAAGATAAATTTTAACTTAACTATTGAGTTGTATCTTCAGAGATAGGAATTAAAGAAATTAATTTTATTAATTAATTAATGTCCTGATAGAAGAAAGTAAAAGGTAATGCAGGGTTTAGTGTGATAATATTTAACTATCAAGATTTGGGGTGATTTTGGTTTCCCTTCTGTAATGCTTTTGTATTTTGCAGGATTTCTCTAAATTCTTTTTGATTTTATAATTGGGGAGAAATTTTTAAATTAGGTAAATGACTTATGATTTCTATAAGTATTCATAGCTTGTTTTCTTATTTTTTTGTTTTATTTAGGGGAAAATGGCTTTATTGGCCTCAAATAGCTGCTTTATTAGATGTAATGAGGCAGGTGATATAGAAGCAAAGAATAAAACGGCAGGAGAAGAAGAAATGATAAAGGTAAGCACCTCCTCCAGGCTGTAGTGATGAAGCATGGACAGCCCCGACTGTCTCTTTCCATGTGCTCTAACTATCACATGTCCAGGGGTGCCGTGTTTGTGCCATGCAGGTGAGAAACCAATGGTCAGAGCTTCTCTGCAGCTCTCCTGATACTTAATGTTTAAGATAGATAATATGTTCTCATAGCATGGAAGGTTTCAAAGTGAAAGCTTACAAAGCCTTGTGTCTCCCACCTGCACTGCTTACCTATTCCCATCCTGCCCTGTCCCTACCTTTCCTCCGTCGTTTGCTTCATTTGGTTTTACTGTTGTTGCTTGCTGTACTGTCTTATATAAACACCTTCCCTGTTTTCTGTTGTATCCTAAAGATTCCTGTCCCTGTAAATCTGTATCAAATGTCTTGCCCTCCTCACCTTCATAGTGTTATGTTTTAGGGCTCTTCCTTACTTTATTCAAGTAGTCTCTTATAAATTGAAATGTAGATTGTCTCCTGGCTTTTGTCCTCAAACAACATGACTATATGTCATCATCAATAAACTTCCAGGATCATCAGGTAGCTAAATGGAATCTGATGAAACCTTGTTTAAACTTATATGTGATTCCAGCTGATTCTGTAAGTGATACATGTGTACGAAGCACATCATATATCTTGAGCTTGTCTTTTCCTAAATCTTATTGCTAAGTTCATTGTTTTCTTTGCTTGAGTAAGAAATCACTTAGAGTGCTTTTGCCTAGCAAGTGAGGAGAGGAAGATATATGTGTAACCTATTGGGTTCTCATCAATATCTAGATTAGATCTTGTGCTGAAAGGGAAACCAAGAAAAAAGATGACATCCCAGAAGAAGACAAAGGAAATGTGAAGCAGTGTGAAATCAACTATGTGTATGTATTCTCCCTTCAGACTCCAATCTGACAGTAGAGTTTCTCAGGACCCCTGATAGCAAAGTACCTGAAGGACAGAAGAGCCAGTAATGGGAACTCAAGGACAGAGCAAAGAGCTGAGTGCTTCAAGCTAAAGACACCTGGGTTAGTCAGCTCTCCTTTCCTCTAATAGAGTTACTGTCACGCCACCCAGGGGCCATTCATGTTCCAGAAATGAGGGCTACAACCAGCCAACATCCTTAGACGGAAGCTGTGCAGGGCTGGCCAAGTGACAGCCCCTTTGATAGAGCATAAGAAATAACCTTTGTAATAGAAAAACTTTCAATTTTTAAAGAAATATAATTAGGTTTGTTAAACAAATGAGTGGGGAAAACTTTTAATAGTATTTGGAATTTGGTAAGGGAACACAATAAAAGTTTGAGGTTTGTTTTTTCAATGAGAGATCTTCTTCACAGAAAGAAATTTCAGAGCTTCCAAGACCACAAACTCAAAATAAGCAAAGAAGATAGTAAAATTCTTAAAAAGGCTCGGAAAGATGGGTTTTTGCATGAGACTCTTCTGGACAGGTAATTGCATGTTTGCATAATTTCAGCAGTTTTCAAAGGTAGTATGTTCTTACATTGCTGTCGTTTTAGGATTTCTGTCTTCTCTAATTTATATGGTAATATTACCTAAAGACATAAGACTGGGGAAAGTGTGCTAAAAACAAATTTCTAAATTATAGCCAGAATGTAAATTCTTAAATTCTTTTTAGCTTTTCAGGTTCATCTCAAACTGTTTCATAAAGTCACTGAACCACCAGGTCATTTCCATATTGTAGTGATTACCGTGCAGCCTCCAGGCTGTCTCCAGGTGTGGCCGTTACTGTGCTTGCCTCTCATAAGTTTGCTTCCCATCGTCTTCCCTCAAGATTGGGAACAGAGCTAGAACGTTGCTTGAGTAATACCAAGATTCTGTGTTCTTTTTGTATAGTAGAGGTTCCTAAAGCTGAGATTCAATGTATGAGTTTGTATCCAGACTAAAAGTTTAGTAAGGGAAATTGAACCTGTTTTAGTAAGGTTAGATTCAGCAGTGTGCAAGATATTTATAACACATTATTGATATTTGTTCCAGTTTATTTTCATTTAAATAAGTAACAGCCTACACTTACTACCTGGAAAAACAGGCAGGGAAGTTAACTGCGGGCTTAGAGCAGTCTATCAATAGAGTGCCAAACTGAAAAGGAATCTGATAATCTCCTGTCAGTCATAAAGCCTCCTGTTGTAAATCACTCTTAAGCCTTCCCACTATCTGATAAAATAATACTTAATTGCATACTTCGTGTTAAATGGTTGGTAAAGGTGAACTCAGTTAATGGGAGAAATTTTTATTGTTGTTGAAAAATATGTGTGTGGTTTTAAGAAGTCAAAAGGACATAAAATATAATCAGACTGTGAACTCTAAAATAGAGTAAGCTGTTTGTTTAGCAACTTTAAAACCAGTTTAAAAAAAAAATGCACCATCGTTGCCCAATAGAAGCTGAGGGCAGGCTTAAGCTCATGAATGACTGCTGTGTCCCTTGTGACCTGAAAAAGCCCTTAAGCCACCTCTGTTGACTATTACAAAATAAGTTTCATAAGACTAGAGAAAGTTGAAAGGTAAAGCCTTAATGAAATCTTTTAATATGACTGTTTAATACAGTTTCCAGGCTTGAGTTTTCTAGTTGGTAGCAATTGACTCTATATGGTATGTTTTACATTCATTGTTCTTTGTGTCTTAAACAGGAGAGCCAAATTGAAAGCTGACCGATACTGCAAGTGACAGAGACGTTTTTATGTTGCTTTGATTTTTTTGTTGGGGGGGGGAGGTATTTGTTTGTTTTTATCCTGAATAAAAATATTCAGTGTAACTCTGCTTTTACAGATTTCTTGAGTACTTTCAAAATTACAGCTTAATTTATTATCTTGTTTGACCAAGACTGATCAAGTTTAATCTACATCCTTCATGGAATTTACTTTTCAGGTAAGAGTAACCACTTAAAGGACTGCAGAGCTTCTTCACTGAATTCTCTGGCGTGTTACTTGAGAAAATACATTCCCCCGCTGCACTGGGCTCTTGCTGTTTGTTGCTCTGCTGCTTCTCTTTATTGGGTCCAAGCTTGATCTGTTCATTTAGAGGATTAGAGTGTAAGTAAAGCCTTGGTACTCCTCTCTGTCTTTCTTTCTTGTTTCTTTGTTTGTGGTTTTTTCTTCTATCTTCCTTGTTCGTTTGATTGATGGATTGCTTGCTTTGTAGTCTAGTAACATAATAGTCCTGTTGTGCAGGACATTTCAGGGCCAGCCTGGGTTGCGTGACACCCTGTCTCAAAAAAGGGACAAAAAAAAGTGTTTTAGGCAGGTCCTCTAGAGGACTAGAATGGGGTTGGAGTTGGGGGGAGGAGGAGCTTTAAAATACTGATAGCCATATCCCACCTGAGACACTAAGAACCCAGTCTGACTCAGTTCTTGAGACTAGGTTCGTCAGTAGTTCCAGGGGTCTGGTTAGAATGGTTAGAATAGCTCTCTCACTGTGGGGGCCATGACCCACACTTACTAATTTCATGAGCTGAGATCTGGCACCAGAAGCGCAGGAACTTCCCATAGTGCCTGTGGTCCTGCTCCACAATGAAGGCTTGGAAATGATGGTAGTGAAGGAACCAGCAGTGTGAGTCAACTCAGCACAAGAGGGAAAGACGGACAAGAGGAGACCGCGACAGTCAGAGTGGGCCTTCCCATGTCTGGGATATCAGGGCAAGTCTTTGGGTGAGGCTCTCCACTCAGCTGATTATAATTTGTGGCAAGTTGACATTAAAATCAACCACAATTGAAAAGAAAACTTTGCTAACCTGCCAAACCCTGCCTACTTTGGGGTTTTATGTTTCATGCCTCTCCAAATCTAGTCTTAGTGTTCACTACCTAGTGTCTGCTTTACGTAGGCACTCTCGCGGTAGACTCGGCCCACCTTATTCCTGCTGCAGCAGCTGAGCATTGCCACACACGCTTCTCCGGTGTCTGAACTTCGGGAACCTATTCTTACTCTCAGTCCAGGCTGTGGGGTTTTGTAAGGGACACACATATTTCAGTGTCTCAGCAGGACGAGGGCGCTTCCACACAGCAGCAGTCTGCCACAGCCAGAAATTGTCTAAGCTAAAATGCCAACGCTCCAAGGCTGTAAAACCTGCAAACTCGCATGATCATCTGGGCTTTTTCCCCTCCCAATACCACAGAGTAATAGCACAAAGTTAGTGAATAAAATGGCAGCCCATCTGTAGTCTTCAGTATAGATTCCCAGGAACCATCCTTAGATGCAAGGCTTGACAAATACAGCATTAGACCCGAAGTTTGCTTTTAAGGAAAACTCCAAGTAAATCTGAAGCAAGTGATAGAAAAAACATTGGGAGGTGGGGCTGAAGTCACTAAAAGATGGAGAGGTATGTTGAAGGATTGGCAGAATTAATACTATTCAAAAAAGATGGCTGTGTTACCCATTGTAAGCTAGAGATTCAGTGCAATCCCCATAAAAATCCCAGTGATGTTTTTTACAAAATTAGAAAGCAACAATTACAGATTTGTATGAAAGCATAAAAGACTGAATAATGGAGTCCTTAGCAGTATCTTAAAACCCAGTCTCATGGTAACAAGAACAATATGATACAGGTGAAGTAAAAGACACCACCAACAGGAAAGGAAAGTACTCAGGGTACATTGACAACGTTGTCAAAAACACATTGGACAAAATACTACCTCTAATAAACCATTCTGGGAAAACTGGATTTCCACATACACATCATTTGTCTTGCATTAAGGTAAAAATGAATTGAAGATCACAATGGAAGACCTGAAACCAGCCACGGGGGGAAGCAAAGGATTTTACGAAAAGGATGCCAGTACCACAGAAACAATCCCAAGAATTGATAAACGATAATTGATAATCACATAAAATGTAAAATTTCTACACAGCAGAGGAGCATTCACCAGTGAAGAGAAACCCTACTGAATGAGGGGAAATAACAGAATAGCTCCTTACACATCAGAGAGGATGAATACCCAGAGTGATGATTCTCAAAAATTACATAAGTCATGTATTCAGTAAATGGAATGATGATCCAAGGAGCCAGTTCTCTGAAGAAGACATACAAATGGCCAATGAGTACTTGGAAAACACTCAACATCATGAGCTAATAGGAAATACAAATTACAGCTGCTTTGAGATTTCACCTCACCCAGTAAAATTTATCATTAAGAAAGCATGCTGCAGAAGAGGTGAGGAAAGAGGAACCCTTCTCCACTGATGACGAGAATACAGACTGATGCAACTACCTTAAAAAAATATATGGAGGGGCTGGAGAGGGACCAGCACTTGTTGCCCTTGCAGAGGACCTGGGTTTGGTTTCCAACAGACACGGTTTGGCTAACGACAGTCTGTAACTCCAGTTTCAGATCTAACACCTGTCCTCTGGTTATTGTACACATCTGCGTACAGATAGACATGCAGGTGAAACACCCATACACATAAAAAACCATGCCGGGTATGTGGCATACACCTTTAATGGCCAGCAAGTGCAGAGGCTGATGGATCTCTGAGTTCAATGCCAGCCTGGTTTACATAGTACATTCTAGGACAGCCAAGACTACAGAGAGAAACCGTGTTTCAAAAAGCAATAATAGTAATAATAAACCTTTTTAAAAATCAGTATGGAGGTTCCTCAAAAAAAAAAAAAGAAACAGGAAATAGAGCTACTGTATGACTTAGCCACTTGAGCATATACACCGGCAACTAGGCAACATGCCACAGAGATATCTTCCCACCCATGCTCATTGCTTCACTGCTCACAATAGCCAGGAAACTGAGACAGCTTATGAACTCATCTACAGATCAGTAGATAAATGTAGTGCAAAAACACTATGGAATTTTAAACAGCCATACAGGAAAGTGCAGTCACGACATTTGCAAGAAATTGGATCTTACTGGAAATCATTAGGTTTCTAAGTAAACCAGACTCGCACAAATACATGCTGTATCATTCTGAATTTCATTTAGAATGACGTGTGTGTGTACTTTGAGGGGGTGTGTCATGGAGATGGGAGGAAGAGCCCAGAAGGGAATTAATTAATTAATGGAACATTTGTAATAGGAAAGCAGTAAAAGGAGACGAATAGGGTGAGGAAGAACAAAGCGTGCTGCGCGTGAAAATGCCATGATGGAGCTCATCCCTGTGCTAACCGAAAAACTAAAAAGCACTCCCATCAAAAGACAGACCCTAGATTGCAAACACTTGCTTTGTACCCAAGACTATGCCTGCCAACTGATTTTCCTGGGACAACATTCCCTCCATCTGCATTTCTGTACAAAGTCTAGTCCCGGGTCTTTGGTGGCCTCATATTCTCCAATTTCCTTCCCTTATTACAATAAGCAGACCTAATTACAGGTCCTGGGAAGATAAAAGTATATTGTGTTATGGAGTAAATGTACCAGTGAAGGCGGACACTAAGTGTAGATAACAAATCTGCCCAGTTATCTACATCAGTGCTGCGGGAACATCAGTCTGGGTGAGTGGCAGAGGTTAAATCAAGCGTCACAGAGCACTGACTTATGAGTGCCCGAGGCCCGGATTCAGCCCGTACCTGGTGGTATGGAATAAAGGCATGTAATTGTTTCCTCTTTACATCTCACATCTCAGGTTGCTGTGAGGAATCCTGTTTGAAGTATTCATTACAGGAATCCCTGACTACAATAGTGCCCTGATGGAACAGTCTGGTAGCCTTATCAAAAATAAGATTATACAAGATAACAACACTGGCCTGAGAAAAAGGGCCCACATTTTTTCAGAATAGATCTTATCTAATCGTATAGAAGTTCATTGAGGTGTATAGACTGATTATTCTTAGAGTGTTATGTGAAGGGCCAGGCCTGCTTATTTGTGTTTTTGTCCCGCCCAGTACTCCACAACTGTTTAGCCCCCAAAGAAAATCACACATAGGTCTCCATAAATTATAAGCTGATTGGCCCATTAGCTCTAGCCTCTCACTGGCTAACTCGCACATCTTGATTAACCCATTTTTCTGATCTATGTTAGCCATGTGGCTCAGTACCTTTTTTTCGGTGGGGCAGATCACATCCTGCTGCTTCAGTGGTCTGGGCAGGACTGCGAGGAATAAACTTCCTCCTTTCCAGAATTCTCCTGTTCTCATTACCTCACTTCTATTTCCTGTCTGGTTTTCCTGCCTATACTTCCTAACTGGCCAATCAGCGTTTATTTGAAACATGATTGACAGAATACAGGCAATTCTCCCACACCATTAGAGGAAATATCTTCTTAATATAAAATATTTCTTTTATTGAAATAAAATATTGAAAATAATACTTTATGTACTCTGAATATTTACAACTAATAAATATCACATATTACTTGCCAATTATACCTGTAATTCCAAGATTTGAGAGGTGGAACAAGAGGATCAGAAATTCATTCTGGATTACATGATGCTCTTATCTCAAAAAAAAAAAAAACGAACAAAAAGTAACTTACCAGGATTGCTTTTATTTTTAACCTTTGAGAGTTTTTTGGACACGATCTCAAGTTGCTCAGGCTGGCCTCAAATTTGCTATGTGGTTGAAGCTGGTCTTCAACACCTTATCTTCCTGCTTCAACTTCCCAAGTACTGGATTGTAGGTGTATTGTTCCATGCCTGGCTTACAGCATCTTATTAAAACCACAGTAATGTGGAAACTGAAGTCA